CAACCAACAAATGTAATGTAAAATACAGACATTATAGATTATTTCCAGGATTTTTGGTCATTTGAATCAGTTTCCAGGTGTTTCCATGACTGGAAAATGAGTCTCTAAATTTCCAGGTTTTCCAGCATGTGTGGGAACCCTGCAGACTACACATGCCTTAATACATGTCTGGAGGGGATCTTGAAAGGTTATGGACACTCTCAACTGGTTGAGATTGAATCATTTCAGATAGAAAGTCGCACAGCAACAAGTGATGAGGATTTCTTTCATCTCTGTGTACTGCTGACAAATGACTTTATCATGCACATGCACTCTTGGCTCCCAATCCTATTTGGAAACCTGGTTATGCATATGCATGACCAAGAAATCTAGGGCCCTATTCAGGAAACATCCTAAGGCTAAAAGTAGCTCCTAACTGGCTGAGTGAGGGAAAACTCAGTCCTAACTTTAGGACTTCTGGTCCAAGATTAATTCACAAAACTTTCTTGCGCTGAAATTGTCACCTCGGTCTGAGAGAAGTTAGTGACTAAGACCTACTCAGAGTCTGTGGTGCAGGTAATGCCCAATCAGTGTTAAAAGCCAATTGGTAGACAATTAATAAGGATTCAGTCAGCTCACAGTCAAAAAGTCCAACAACACCAGAGATGACAGTTTGCACGCTGCTAATACAGTGTTTTACTTGACAAAGTCCTCGCTAACTTTGTCTGCCATTTGGTGGTGCATGGATCGTGTACTTTTGCTTTACCGGAGCTTTTTATCAAAAACCTGCTGCTGTAGATTTCCCCAAAATCTAAAGCAATCAGCTAAAAGAAGCTAAAAAATAATCTTTGTAGAGCTGCAGAAATGTTGATAATTCCCTGTGTTCATCACTATGAGTGACCCCTTTCACACAGCTTGTAGTCATTTGATTTAATATTAATGTAAAATACTGATTAATAGAGCTTTAAAGGCATCCTTGATTAAAGCACTGAAACCTTGCTTAATGATGTGCACTTCTGTACTGAAATAAATGATCTCACGTCACAATCCAGATCTACTTTTTCTAAAGACATAGCAAGCCTCAGTTGTAGAACAACTGCTGTAACAACACCCCTCTCAGCCCCTTGTTAGCCTAGTTACATCAACATTTGACTTTGTACTGACTATCATTTTCAACGGGCAAATAATTACAAGAGATTTAATAAATGCAAGGGTTGGGGGTAGTCAAAGGCTGATTTCATTATGATGAAACGTATGAACTAGTTTTGACACAAATTTTCTTAACATCTAAATAAAAATTCAGAACCAGAGCTGAGCACACTCCGCCGCACACCACTGGGCCTCACACACTGGATCTGAGCACCACTATAGGCTTGCAAGCAAGTTGGAGATCACACAACATCAGCACTTCTGCAGTTGGATTTCTCTGCCCAATAAACCTTGAGGCAGTCCACCTACTTGTATAATACTTTTCCTCCAGCTTCCCGAAAGTCTGCGTAAAACAGCATGCATATATACAGCGATTTACAAAATGTCTACATGATTCTGGAGCAAAATTAAGTGTATTCGGTTACTCCTAGAGCCTTAAGCCCAAAGTAAATCGAGCTAAATACAAATAATTTATGCTCCAGGTATGAGGTATGGCAAATTGATGCAGGGAAATGCAAAAACAGGTCAACAGTGAAGCCAATAACCCAAGTTACAGGCTGACACCACATAATTGCATCATTAGAACAAAACTGAAAGAGCACTGCTTTCATTAGACATTTGCTCCTGACAGCTCAGTCTGTCCTACCTCCCCTTTCACATCACTGTAGAAACCACTGTGGCTTAGTTCTCTAAACTCAAAAGAGTGCCGAGCATTGTAGCAACCACAAACCTACAGCAAAACTCAATTTTGATTGTCTGTCTATCTGTCTGGCAAGGTGCAATAGGGCGTGTAATATCCTTTGCTGAGGCACCAACACGAACCCTTTCTGATCCTCGCTAGACAAACACACCACTGTCTACCGTGGGCATCAGGACCTCATTAATGTTTGGAATCAGTTGAGAATATATCTGGTGAGAAAAAGACCATGTTTAAGGTGAGGCAAAGCCCAGACGTGAGGCCTGATTCAACAAATTATTAACTCATGCTTCATTTTACATCTGGCTTTGTAAGACTGTCCTGATGCCTATAAATTAACCCTACTGTGACAGTTTCCTCACCGTCTTCCAGTAATTATTGTGAGAGCACCCGAAGCTGCTGCTGTCAGATAGAAAGTGTTTACCGCTGCTACCTCCGTTGTTTCCACAGCGACAGCCTTCCAGCTCAGGTAAGGGGCAGCAGCATGGTAAGGTAAAAGACCCACAGAATCCAACGCAAGGCTAAGGGTTGCCTTATTCCTTTGCTACGGGTCATGATTAAGTAACCTGTCAAAGCACTGTGAGACAGCAAGTGACAAGTAAATTGTTGGAGAAAGTCATACCGTGCCATTCATATGTATCCATACATCTTTGCTAAGTGTGTAGTGCCAGAAGCTTGTGACATAGTGTAGACTCACAGGCCTAGTGGGAAAACTATTTTATCAAATTCATTTTACATATTTACAGAAAATACATCATGCATTACGGTACAAGTACTCACTTCAAAGGAGGAAGCTGTTCAAAGACCTGGGAGCAGCTGGAGGAACTATTTTCACCCTGCACACTTTGCTCAACCTGGATAACTGGACCAAAATGACAAATATCTGTACAGAATTGGGCTACATAAAAACTGCACATAACTGTCAAAGGGAACATTAATCAAAAATAGTTTAGGGACGATACTTGCAGTCTAATCCAAAGAAGATGAAGGAAGCGAGTGTGTGGGGGATGTTTATGGTCCTGGGAAATAGAGGCAGAGTGAGAGCTCTTACTGTCTCTGTGCCACGGACCAGCTACTCCGAGTCTGACAACAATACACCATCAACTCCGGTACGTTTCTCTCCTTTTACCTATTGGTCTGTAAACACCACCATGCTGTCTGAAATGCTCAGTGCCCAGCGGACGATGAGGTTAATGAACTCAACGAACAGAAGTTATCCAACATTGATGAGTTTTAATCCGTTAGTAGCGAAAATTTGGTACCGAATGACAAGACATTCTTGGATCCTTGGCAGTATCGACCCAATTCCGTCGGTGCCACAAAAGTATCTAAGTTCGGTACCCAGCCCTAAGCAGAATAAATCTGTGGTGTCCACAGCTGTCCGTGTATGTGTCCATTTGGGAGTATGTTGAGGCCTCACAGCCTCTGAGGTAGACTTGCAACTTGCTGATGCTCATTCAACAGATACATCCAGAACAACATCATCACTGGGTGTAGTGTAGCAGCTTCCTGTTAAGCACCTTTATGGTCATGATAGCTGTGAATGTACATCAGTGTAAATTTCACTCCAGTGTGTGCTTTCCATTAGACTTCAGAAGTCCACTGACCTGTAACTGTCATGTCTTCTTGACCATCTCATTCCTCATCATCTTCAATAAAAGTGGTTCAAGACCACCACATCCCCTCTTATACTGCCTGTCAGTCCCCGCTCTCTCTACGCTGCCTTCCAGGCTCGTGCTGAAGCTCCAGCTTTGCCAGTGTTACTGGTTAGCATATCTGTTTGCTCTGGAGATGATAGTCACCCCAGTGATGTGGTGGAAGGCGGTGTGGAGAGTCTAATGCATTTTAATGAGAATCCTGGAAAGTCACAGCTGAGGGGGCTATGGGAGGGGAGTGGCAGCGGTAGAGCTGCGCTGTGGAAGCTCGTTCGGCCCCTGGTGTTCATCATTCCTTGTAACTCACTCCCCCGTCCCCCCCTTTGAAGTCAATCTTCCCTCTTTCCCTACCTTTCTTCCCCTTTCAAATCTCAGCGAGCCCTGACATGCCTCTTCAAAAGAGCAATCAAAATAAAAAAGAACATCAACAGTATCACTTTGTTTTCTTCGTCCCTCTACCTGCTTTTCTTTCCCTTTCGGCCACATGATTGCTGATCTCTTCTGGCCGTGATGATGCGTCCTTATTCGTTGTCATCTTTATTCCTGGACCAAATGTGGCCTGTCAGGTTGGATCAAGCTGCTTGGAGCTCAGTGTGGCACTGGGGAGAATTAACGGCCCAGCAGCCATTATCTGGCTGTACAAAGACAAGTCTCATACCCTTTCTCTCACTTTGCATCTCTTTTTTAAACACGTTTGGACAGACAGGCACGCACACACACAGACACACAGACACACACACACACACACAGACACACACACACACACACACAGCCTTGTCTTTATCGCATGGTAGGGACACCAGACCAGACCATGCTTTCTGGGAACCACCCTTTCTGGTGGTTGTACAGCTTTGAAAAAAATCAGGCAGTATCCTGAAGGGGCCATAAACAGAAATGTGACTTCAAATAATCCATCAGACAAAGTAGAGGTCCTAGACCTGACCAAGACCAGCCTCCTGAGGACCTGTCAGGTTTTTAGATACACGTGAGGTCAGTATATACACAGTGTCTGGTTTTTCTTCTTCCTGAGTACCATTTAACACAGTTTCAGGTTAAACCTTTTTGGGGACCCACCATTGACTGTCAAGGTGAGTGCTGTATGATACAGCATGATATTCATCCACTGGAGCTTGGAAATATATCAACATTTAGATTCTATAACATAACAACGTTAAATGCAGACCACTCAATCAATATGAAACCTACTATTAGGTTAAATGCATCACCAATTAACATCAGCATTATTACAGGACATAAGTCCCAATAATGACTGTAAGTAAAAACATTAGACTGATAAAAGTATAATGAATGAAAAATGTCAACATGCCAACATCACAGGGTACAAAAACTGTTTACAATGGAAATCAAAGGAGAACAAAATAGAATAATACAAATTGCATGGCATGATAAGATATTGTATCAAAGTGCCTAATTTTATTTATACACCTGCTGCTCTATCAGCAGTATAATAAAATATGTTTTATTTCCTTGGTTGAATTTAACACAAGTTGCTCGAAATATAATTTTGCTGTTCAAAACTTTTATTGGACTGTTAAATTAACCAAAATAGGTTTTTCTTTTACATTTCTGTATCACAAAACTATTAAACGAAAACAAAAGTTTTAAATGTCAGACCCTTATATCACTGTCATATAGGTTTGGGCTTTTGGTTGGACAAAGAAATTGCAAATTAAATAGGTCACATTGGACTCTGGAACATCGTTATGTGCAGATTATTTGATTATAAACCTAATAGTTACAGCCCTTGTGTTTGTACAAATACTTAACTGCTGAAAACTAAATTGTTGAACACAGCCATTACAGGTTAACTTGATAATAAGGGATACAATGAGAAGACAATAGTTAAATTGGAGAAAATGAAGTAAAAGAATATAGGCAATAACCTAAACTATGAGATAAACTGAGTAGATGAGATCAAATATAATAAACTGAGATGAAAAAAAGAGAAATTATGATTAGAGTGGAGAGGAGATAAGATTTGTTAAAATGAGATTAGAGATGATAATGAGATTAGATCAGATAAGATAACAAAGTGAGGATAGATTAGGTAAAGTGTCAGATGAAAGAGGATGAGGGGAAATGAGAAGACATAAGATGGGGGGGACATAAGACAAGTCGAGATGGATTGTGACAATATGAGATATGATGACGAAGATACTATGACAGAAGAGATGAGATAAAATAAGAGATTTGAAGAGAGAAGATGAGATGACAATACAAAAGATTAAATTAAAAGAGATGTGCTCAAATAAGAATAGAGGAGATAAGATAAAAAGGCAAAGACTTTAGATGAAATAAGACTAAAATAAATAAGATCAGAACATCTCTTTTCAAATAGAGATTAGGTAAGAGAACTATTGCATCCATTAGAACATTAGTATCAAAAACAAAAAACAGAAACACTGAACAGTATATATCTGTTTACACCTGGTAGTAACAGGCTCCAAATGTTGTGTAGCAAATGATAGTCTATCTATCTCTATCTAACATAATTTACATGTTGTGACACAACAAGCATAACCAGTGTAAACATACATTAAATGATCACTTTAAACTTTGTTCTTGAGAGCTGTGATTCGATTCTTAATGTAGAACTTTATGGCCAACCAATTTCTGTTTTTGAGTGCTACTTTTTCCTGTTGAAGGCACTTATCACAGTCGCTTTTCCCCGGGACGCGGCACGAAGTAATGAAGGACATCATGCGCTTCTCGACAGCAACCACCTCCTCTTTCTCCCACATCCTTTTCTTGGAAGGCTGGCGACCTGTAAAACAATAAACACAAATTAATATTTCTGTGCTTCTCTATGGAAATATTAAATGAGGAACAAAAGTCAAGAAATTATTGATTATGAGACTGTGTACAAAATTTGGACAAGATAGAGGTCTCAGATATTGTAATAATGTAGGTGAAAAATCATGTGAAACTGCATATTTTGTATTGAAAAACATACCAATTTTAAGCTACTCCAACTTGTGTGAATACGGGCTGGTCTCGTTAAAACTTTACCCATTTTCCTTTTTGTTGATTGTTGGTGACAGGCTTGTGGAGGTGTCATTGGGCGCTGCCATGATCTTGCATCGCTATGGCTCACATCTGGCGATGTGGTCTCGTCCTCTTCCCTCTGACTAAATGTCTCCTGAGTCTCTGAAAACCAGAAGAAAACAAATTACAAAAATATCAATAATGGAATCTTATTTATACCACAGTAAATAAGACATGTCCCAAGCAGAATCTAAGGACCGGTTTTGGGACCAATCTAGGTGTGGTTTAATGGACTGGTATCAGCTAAAATAAATCTGATTAAAATCTGATCCTTTCTTCTCTGTATTTTGTGTTTTGCTCAATTCGGCCTGCTAGTGTTGCTGAAATTCTCTCCATACAACCAGGCTCTACAGTGGAAGTATTTTGCTGCATATGAGAGAGAAAAAGTAATTTGAATGCACTGGTTAGTGGTTGAATTCTTACACTGAGGTTGGACAAATTCTGTGTGACTGAACTGTACTGAAAATGACTGTGAGGGAAAAATCTCCATTCTATAACACAAGAGTACTGTACAAGAGGACTGAGTGTTACAATTCAGACCGTGTACCATCAATGGTAGAAATCCTCTGTAAATCTTTCACTCATACCATATCAGTAACTTAGGTGTATCAACTTAATATACGTGACCTAAGACCTCCAGTATTTGAATCAAGAAGCTCAGGAAAAATAAGATGTGTCGTATTATATTAACATTTCTATAAATATAAGAGTCAGATCAGAGTCAGTTATAGCAGATACCAAGACTTGGAACAAGATAAGAGTCAAAACACATGATTTTGACATCCTGGATTACATAGGCAGGGTTACATTTAGTAACATATCAAAAGTACTTACCTTGTGAGTCTGAGTCACATGCCACCTCAGTGTCACTGTCCATGTGCACATTTTCTGTGAGTTGGGGAGGGGGTGGGAGGGAGGAGAGTGACTGTTAGTGATCATAGAATGCAATTCATTTGATTCTGACAATCAATCACTTTAGATAAGTAAATACAAGAATCCAAGAACTGAAAATAAATAATTAGTACCATCGGGATCAATGCTGATGTCATCCAGGCTCTTGCCCTTGAATTGTGCTAGGCGTCCCTGCTCCAGAGCCATGAGAACTTTGCTAATTTTAGCAAGTTGGAGTGTGCCCTCAGGAAGTCTGTAGAACTGTCGATGCACCCTTATGTCATGGCCAAGGAAATCAGCTAACTGATCCAGCTCTGTGTTACTGAGGTTGAGAACTTGAGACAGAGTTGCAGTTTGTTTGCGCAGTTTTGTAGAAGTGAGACTTTCAGGACTCTTTGCACCGCAAACTTTGGAGAAGTGTCGAAGACAATCAGACCCACGGTAGCAGGTAAAAGCAGATGGTCTTGCAAATAAGTAGATGTTCTCCCGAAGAACCCCACATTCCTCCCGTTTGCTGACAAGCAGATCCAATGCTTGTTGCATTGCTGGGGTCAAAAGCACAGGAACTTTTCTCCCCCTTTTTCCTCTTATCTCTATCCTCCTGAAGTGCTGACAGAGTTTCTTTTCCAGATCTGAGAGGGCTATGTTCACATCTTCCTCAGGGTCTGTTGGATTTTGAGACAAATATGCAGAGAGGGGCATTTTTGACACCTCTCCTGCTCGCCGTCGGTTGAACAAGATGACTTCTGTCAAAGTAACCTTTGCCAGCTGTGTCCATGCCTGGGGGGGATGTCTCTGTGGACAGCTTGCTGTAACTATGTCGTTGTTGCATATCTAAATAAGAATGGAGAGTCTGGACATCTTTTGTGAATGGTAGCAACAGGGGGGCATTCCACTTAGATTCCTGAAGTGTTCTCAGTGACGCAGCTGATATTAGTTCATTCCACCTGGTTTCATATACTCTGCGGAATGTACGAGCATCTTTTGCTGCACTGTAGTCAGTCTGTACATTTGCACGGCTTTCAACAAGCATCGAAATCTTTGTCAAGCTGTGTCCAATTTTGAGAGCAAGACTTGGGCGCTTGTATGCATTGGTTTCACTGTCATAGCCAGCTACACGTTTCACTGCTTCCACAACATGCATGAAATTTACAGGTCTGACGTGGTCTTGAATGGTCTTCAAGGGAGTGGTTTTCCTAGAGCATACCAGAAGCCTTCCCAGCTCTCTCAACTTTTGCAGAATGTATTCGTGTTTGCCAACATCATGTCCAAGCCGGTTGTATAGATGCTCACCAAACTCCATGATACAGACATCAGATTTGACTGCAGAATAAACTTCATCTTGAATCATGTTGCTTAAAAGCTTCCAAAATTCTACTTTGACACCAGGGGGTGGAGGTGCAGCAAATGCACAGAGGGCCTGAACACGTGTTTTGCCAGGTTTTTGTGAAACACCAGGTTTGAACTTGCAGATCGTCATGTGCCGCCAAAGAACTTTCTTTGTGAAAAAGCCATGACAATATATGCAATGCAGGAAGTTTTTTGCTTGACAATCTTGTTTTGGTTGCTTGCGAGGAACAAGATTTCCAACACCAGAATTTAACACATCAATATTGTGTGCAAAGTTGCCCCTATTCCTCAAATGTTCCAGATGCATGCGTCTCTCTTTGGAGCCTTTTGGGAAGGACACAGCCTGTGCAACCTCTGGTTTATTCTGATGAGCACGTTCCAAATGCCTTGCCATTTTTACAACTCCCAACTTACAATACAAACAGTATTGTTTTTTGTTGTATATTCTTGATCCATTCTCCTTTTTAGAGACAGCAGGTATGGAAAGTGAACCACCAGCCACACTATCAAGTGGATGAGAGTTACTGTCCAGAAGATTTTTCTCAAGATCCAGTGTTGAGTTTTCTAACGGGGTTCCAGTGTCTCCCCTTCCACTTTGTTCTGGTGACTGACCACTAGTGGTTTGTGTTTTAGGACAGGGTACACTGCTTAAATATGGTCTTTTATGTGCCATTCCTGACTTGCTTCCTTTTCTTGAGGGTGAGCGTCCTCTGTCAACCACATTCATTGAAGAACCATTGTTCAGTTCTGCTAATGAGACACAGTTTAAAGACCTGAGCATGCTCTCTCTCTGGTCAACTGGCTCTAGAACCTCACTTGTGTCTGTACCATCAGAATAATCCTCACTAGTTTTAGGGATATATTCCTCTCCACTATCAGCTGAGGAGGGGTCGACAAGCTCATCTGAATCAGAATGAATCTGATTATTCACCTTTAGAAAAGAAAATATGAATGAAATTAAAGTCAGCAAACTAATATCTTGTGTGATATATCAGTAACGAAGTGTTAATCTCTACACTGTGTGTGTTACCAGTGTCTTACCTGTATGCTTTTGGTCCTCCTCAGCAGTGGGACACACTCTTGGTCCTGTTCAGACAGGCTGAGTTCAGTCTGCAGTGACAAAAACAAATTCAAGTTATGTTATGTTTATTTGGACATTGACATAAAAGACAGATTGATAACACAATACAGGGAAATGCTAAAAACATTTATTAACAGTAATTTACCTCAGATGTCTTATCAAAATTGGCAGGACATGTAGATGAACACTGAGATTCATCAGAATCCATGTAGTTTACAACAGACTGATTCATTCCAACATTTTTCTTTGGAAGATGGAGTCCTAGTTCATCTGAGCCCTATAAAAAAAAAAGACAAGTAAACAATAACGTGCAAATATACATGCATACTTTACAAACAGGAAATTTTAAAAATAACTTTGGAATCAAGAGGAATTTAAATTCTGCTCCTGAAGAAAATTGCACTTTGGGGGACTTACTTTAGTGGCCCAAAAAGAAGATATTTTGGTTCATACAAAAGATGAAGGCTGGCAAGAGAATATTGACTTGTAACCAAAAGTTGGTATGACTGGTAGAAAGCAAACTGTGCTCAGCTTCAACAACACATGCCATACATGGCATTTTTGAAGTTTAGGGACAGAAAAACTTAAAGAAGTATAATTAATTATGTAGAATATCTCTCAGTTACCCTGGACCCCACAACAACAGAAGACCTGACAGGTGTGTGTGAGACTGGTCTTCTAAACACACTGATTGGACCCCATTAAATCACAAAAACCAGAAAAGTGCTTGTTGGCAGCATATGTATGAATTCAGACTGACACTGGTGTTGAGAATTTGACCAAAATGTGCCAATACTTAATTAATCAAACTGGAGAGGCTTAAAAACTGAAGTTTAAACAAATAATTGACAAAAAAAGAAATTCAGACAAATGTTAATACCTGTTTCTGGGAGCAAGAAGATCTGACAGGATCCTGGTCTTTGGTTCTGGAGATCTTAGACCTAGTGACAGTCGATGGTCCTCCAACCTGAGGATTAAGTTCAACAACATTAGTGAGTAGTTGGTCAGCAGTAGATTACTCAAATTCAGCAGCAATAACAATGAGCATATACAAAATACAATAAGAAATATGTGTGGAAGTAAAATGGGACTAAAAATATTTATATTTTTGGTAGGTTCAACTTCCCTCTGATATTTGTCATAAATATGTTGCCAGCTGTAGCACTGCTGTAACTATTACAGCCCTGAATAAGTAAAGGTGAAGGCTGACAAGAGGATATGGACCTGTAACCAACAGCTGGTATGACTGACGGAAAGCAAACTGAGCTCAGCTTCAGCAACACATACCATACATGGCATTTTTAAAGTTTAGGGAGAGAAAAACTAAAAGAAGAATAGTAAATTATGTACAATATCTTTCAGTTACCGTGGACCCCACAACAACAGAAGACCTGACAGGTGTGTGTGAGACTGGTCTTCTAAACACACTGATTGGACCCCATTAAATCACAAAAACCAGAAAAGTGCTTGTTGGCAGCATATGTATGAATTCAGACTGACACTGGTGTTGAGAATTTGACCAAAATGTGCCAATACTTAATTAATCAAACTGGAGAGGCTTAAAAACTGAAGTTTAAACAAATAATTGACAAAAAAAGAAATTCAGACAAATGTTAATACCTGTTTCTGGGAGCAAGAAGATCTGTCAGGATCCTGGTCTTTGGTTCTGGAGATCTTAGACCTAGTGACAGTCGATGGTCCTCCAACCTGAGGATTAAGTTCAACAACATTAGTGAGTAGTTGGTCAGCAGTAGATTACTCAAATTCAGCAGCAATAACAATGAGCATATACAAAATACAATAAGAAATATGTGTGGAAGTAAAATGGGACTAAAAATATTTATATTTTTGGTAGGTTCAACTTCCCTCTGATATTTGTCATAAATATGTTGCCAGCTGTAGCACTGCTGTAACTATTACAGCCCTGAATAAGTAAAGGTGAAGGCTGGCAAGAGGATATGGACCTGTAACCAACAGCTGGTATGACTGACGGAAAGCAAACTGAGCTCAGCTTCAGCAACACATACCATACATGGCATTTTTAAAGTTTAGGGAGAGAAAAACTAAAAGAAGAATAGTAAATTATGAACAATATCTTTCAGTTACCGTGGACCCCACAACAACAGAAGACCTGACAGGTGTGTGTGAGACTGGTCTTCTAAACACACTGATTGGACCCCATTAAATCACAAAAACCAGAAAAGTGCTTGTTGGCAGCATATGTATGAATTCAGACTGACACTGGTGTTGAGAATTTGACCAAAATGTGCCAATATTTAATTAATCAAACTGGAGAGGCCTAAAAACTGAAGTTTAAACAAATAATTGACAAAAAAAGAAATTCAGACAAATATTAATACCTGTTTCTGGGAGCAAGAAGATCTGTCAGGATCCTGGTCTTTGGTGCTGGAGATGTCAGCATCAGAAGACTCAGTGACAGTTGATGGTCCTCCAACCTGAGGATTGAGTTCAACATCATTAATGAGTAGTTGGTCAGCAGTAGATTACTCAAATTCAGCAGCAATAACGATGAGCATATAAAAAATACAATAAGAAATATGTGTGGAAGTAAAATGGGACTAAAAATATTTATATTTTTGGTAGGTTCAACTTCCCTCTGATATTTGTCATAAATATGTTGCCAGCTGTAGCACTGCTGTAACTATTACAGCCCTGAATAAGTAAAGGTGAAGGCTGGCAAGAGGATATGGACCTGTAACCAACAGCTGGTATGACTGACGGAAAGCAAACTGAGCTCAGCTTCAGCAACACATACCATACATGGCATTTTTAAAGTTTAGGGAGAGAAAAACTAAAAGAAGAATAGTAAATTATGTACAATATCTTTCAGTTACCGTGGACCCCACAACAACAGAAGACCTGACAGGTGTGTGTGAGACTGGTCTTCTAAACACACTGATTGGACCCCATTAAATCACAAAAACCAGAAAAGTGCTTGTTGGCAGCATATGTATGAATTCAGACTGACACTGGTGTTGAGAATTTGACCAAAATGTGCCAATACTTAATTAATCAAACTGGAGAGGCTTAAAAACTGAAGTTTAAACAAATAATTGACAAAAAAAGAAATTCAGACAAATGTTAATACCTGTTTCTGGGAGCAAGAAGATCTGTCAGGATCCTGGTCTTTGGTTCTGGAGATCTTAGACCTAGTGACAGTCGATGGTCCTCCAACCTGAGGATTAAGTTCAACAACATTAGTGAGTAGTTGGTCAGCAGCAGATTACTCAAATTCAGCAGCAATAACAATGAGCATATACAAAATACAATAAGAAATATGTGTGGAAGTAAAATGGGACTAAAAATATTTATATTTTTGGTAGGTTCAACTTCCCTCTGATATTTGTCATAAATATGTTGCCAGCTGTAGCACTGCTGTAATTATTACAGCCCTGAATAAGTAAAGGTGAAGGCTGGCAAGAGGATATGGACCTGTAACCAACAGCTGGTATGACTGACGGAAAGCAAACTGAGCTCAGCTTCAGCAACACATACCATACATGGCATTTTTAAAGTTTAGGGAGAGAAAAACTAAAAGAAGAATAGTAAATTATGTACAATATCTTTCAGTTACCGTGGACCCCACAACAACAGAAGACCTGACAGGTGTGTGTGAGACAGGTCTTCTAAACACACTGATTGGACCCCATTAAATCACAAAAACCAGAAAAGTGCTTGTTGGCAGCATATGTATGAATTCAGACTGACACTGGTGTTGAGAATTTGACCAAAATGTGCCAATACTTAATTAATCAAACTGGAGAGGCTTAAAAACTGAAGTTTAAACAAATAATTGACAAAAAAAGAAATTCAGACAAATGTTAATACCTGTTTCTGGGAGCAAGAAGATCTGTCAGGATCCTGGTCTTTGGTTCTGGAGATCTTAGACCTAGTGACAGTCGATGGTCCTCCAACCTGAGGATTAAGTTCAACAACATTAGTGAGTAGTTGGTCAGCAGTAGATTACTCAAATTCAGCAGCAATAACAATGAGCATATACAAAATACAATAAGAAATATGTGTGGAAGTAAAATGGGACTAAAAATATTTATATTTTTGGTAGGTTCAACTTCCCTCTGATATTTGTCATAAATATGTTGCCAGCTGTAGCACTGCTGTAACTATTACAGCCCTGAATAAGTAAAGGTGAAGGCTGGCAAGAGGATATGGACCTGTAACCAACAGCTGGTATGACTGACGGAAAGCAAACTGAGCTCAGCTTCAGCAACACATACCATACATGGCATTTTTAAAGTTTAGGGAGAGAAAAACTAAAAGAAGAATAGTAAATTATGAACAATATCTTTCAGTTACCGTGGACCCCACAACAACAGAAGACCTGACAGGTGTGTGTGAGACTGGTCTTCTAAACACACTGATTGGACCCCATTAAATCACAAAAACCAGAAAAGTGCTTGTTGGCAGCATATGTATGAATTCAGACTGACACTGGTGTTGAGAATTTGACCAAAATGTGCCAATACTTAATTAATCAAACTGGAGAGGCTTAAAAACTGAAGTTTAAACAAATAATTGACAAAAAAGAAATTCAGACAAATGTTAATACCTGTTTCTGGGAGCAAGAAGATCTGTCAGGATCCTGGTCTTTGGTGCTGGAGATCTTAGCACCAGAGTGACAGTAACAGTCAATGGTCCTCCAACCTGAGGATTAAGTTCAACAACATTAGTGAGTAGTTGGTCAGCAGTAGATTACTCAAATTCAGCAGCAATAACAATGAGCATATACAAAATACAATAAGAAATATGTGTGGAAGTAAAATGGGACTAAAAATATTTATATTTTTGGTAGGTTCAACTTCCCTCTGATATTTGTCATAAATATGTTGCCAGCTGTAGCACTGCTGTAACTATTACAGCCCTGAATAAGTAAAGGTGAAGGCTGGCAAGAGGATATGGACCTGTAACCAACAGCTGGTATGACTGACGGAAAGCAAACTGAGCTCAGCTTCAGCAACACATACCATACATGGCATTTTTAAAGTTTAGGGAGAGAAAAACTAAAAGAAGAATAGTAAATTATGTACAATATCTTTCAGTTACCGTGGACCCCACAACAACAGAAGACCTGACAGGTGTGTGTGAGACTGGTCTTCTAAACACACTGATTGGACCCCATTAAATCACAAAAACCAGAAAAGTGCTTGTTGGCAGCATATGTATGAATTCAGACTGACACTGGTGTTGAGAATTTGACCAAAATGTGCCAATACTTAATTAATCAAACTGGAGAGGCTTAAAAACTGAAGTTTAAACAAATAATTGACAAAAAAAGAAATTCAGACAAATGTTAATACCTGTTTCTGGGAGCAAGAAGATCTGTCAGGATCCTGGTCTTTGGTTCTGGAGATCTTAGACCTAGTGACAGTCGATGGTCCTCCAACCTGAGGATTAAGTTCAACAACATTAGTGAGTAGTTGGTCAGCAGTAGATTACTCAAATTCAGCAGCAATAACAATGAGCATATACAAAATACAATAAGAAATATGTGTGGAAGTAAAATGGGACTAAAAATATTTATATTTTTGGTAGGTTCAACTTCCCTCTGATATTTGTCATAAATATGTTGCCAGCTGTAGCACTGCTGTAACTATTACAGCCCTGAATAAGTAAAGGTGAAGGCTGGCAAGAGGATATGGACCTGTAACCAACAGCTGGTATGACTGACGGAAAGCAAACTGAGCTCAGCTTCAGCAACACATACCATACATGGCATTTTTAAAGTTTAGGGAGAGAAAAACTAAAAGAAGAATAGTAAATTATGAACAATATCTTTCAGTTACCGTGGACCCCACAACAACAGAAGACCTGACAGGTGTGTGTGAGACTGGTCTTCTAAACACACTGATTGGACCCCATTAAATCACAAAAACCAGAAAAGTGCTTGTTGGCAGCATATGTATGAATTCAGACTGACACTGGTGTTGAGAATTTGACCAAAATGTGCCAATACTTAATTAATCAAACTGGAGAGGCTTAAAAACTGAAGTTTAAACAAATAATTGACAAAAAAGAAATTCAGACAAATGTTAATACCTGTTTCTGGGAGCAAGAAGATCTGTCAGGATCCTGGTCTTTGGTTCTGGAGATCTTAGACCTAGTGACAGTCGATGGTCCTCCAACCTGAGGATTAAGTTCAACAACATTAGTGAGTAGTTGGTCAGCAGCAGATTACTCAAATTCAGCAGCAATAACAATGAGCATATACAAAATACAATAAGAAATATGTGTGGAAGTAAAATGGGACTAAAAATATTTATATTTTTGGTAGGTTCAACTTCCCTCTGATATTTGTCATAAATATGTTGCCAGCTGTAGCACTGCTGTAATTATTACAGCCCTGAATAAGTAAAGGTGAAGGCTGGCAAGAGGATATGGACCTGTAACCAACAGCTGGTATGACTGACGGAAAGCAAACTGAGCTCAGCTTCAGCAACACATACCATACATGGCATTTTTTAAAGTTTAGGGAGAGAAAAACTAAAGAAGAATAGTAAATTATGTACAATATCTTTCAGTTACCGTGGACCCCACAACAACAGAAGACCTGACAGGTGTGTGTGAGACAGGTCTTCTAAACACACTGATTGGACCCCATTAAATCACAAAAACCAGAAAAGTGCTTGTTGGCAGCATATGTATGAATTCAGACTGACACTGGTGTTGAGAATTTGACCAAAATGTGCCAATACTTAATTAATCAAACTGGAGAGGCTTAAAAACTGAAGTTTAAACAAATAATTGACAAAAAAGAAATTCAGACAAATGTTAATACCTGTTTCTGGGAGCAAGAAGATCTGTCAGGATCCTGGTCTTTGGTTCTGGAGATCTTAGACCTAGTGACAGTCGATGGTCCTCCAACCTGAGGATTAAGTTCAACAACATTAGTGAGTAGTTGGTCAGCAGTAGATTACTCAAATTCAGCAGCAATAACAATGAGCATATACAAAATACAATAAGAAATATGTGTGGAAGTAAAATGGGACTAAAAATATTTATATTTTTGGTAGGTTCAACTTCCCTCTGATATTTGTCATAAATATGTTGCCAGCTGTAGCACTGCTGTAACTATTACAGCCCTGAATAAGTAAAGGTGAAGGCTGGCAAGAGGATATGGACCTGTAACCAACAGCTGGTATGACTGACGGAAAGCAAACTGAGCTCAGCTTCAGCAACACATACCATACATGGCATTTTTAAAGTTTAGGGAGAGAAAAACTAAAAGAAGAATATTAAATTATGAACAATATCTTTCAGTTACCGTGGACCCCACAACAACAGAAGACCTGACAGGTGTGTGTGAGACTGGTCTTCTAAACACACTTATTGGACCCCATTAAATCACAAAAACCAGAAAAGTGCTTGTTGGCAACATATGTATGAATTCAGACTGACACTGGTGTTGAGAATTTGACCAAAATGTGCCAATACTTAATTAATCAAACTGGAGAGGCTTAAAAACTGAAGTTTAAACAGATAATTGACATAAAAAGAATTTCAGACAAATATTAATACCTGTTTCTGGGAGCAAGAAGATCTGTCAGGATCCTGGTCTTTGGTGCTGGAGATGTCAGCATCAGAAGACCCAGTAACAGTCAATGGTCCTCCAACCTGAGGATTGAGTTCAACACACATATTCAGATCATTTTGATGAGTGGTTAACACCAGCTATCATACATGAAAACTGAAACGCTATTCTGAACAATACAAAAGTTAAATTAACCAGTGGCACAACACCAGTATTGGATTAATTATTTGGCATTCAAGAACTCAATTATTTTAAACCTTTTTCCTCCAAGGCCAGTCAGTTCCTCCATAGTCATAGGTTATTTCTTCTCCAACATTAATGTCCCGCAGAGCAAAGAGACACAGGTGTGGTTTGCCTTCTGATATGACCTTCTTCATCTTGCAGTTTGGATGGTTGTTGTCATCATTGACAAGTCTTCCCAGACTGCCATCTTCTCGAGCTGCATCAATACTTCAGAAAAGACAAATCCGTGATTAGGCTTCAAAAAATTAAATCACTTCTCTCTGTTGTCAATAATCCATCAATATTTTGAAAATGTACTGCAGATTATCTGAACTGACTGATGAATTAATATCACACATTTGCTGCTTAACTGTTCAGAAATGTCAAATTCATGTAAGCCTTACCACCATGTTCTTTCTTGCCAGTGGAAGTCAAACATGAAGACTGTACATTTAACATGATATGTCCTCCTCCTCCGTTGAGATTCTTCAGAATTTATCAGTTCTCCTCTGTACTCCACCACAAAGTCTCCTTTATGGAAATGTGCCTTGGCAAACACCCCTCGACCTAGTGCACAAATACAGATACCACACTGGTTCTCACCCTAGAAGTTAGCGCAATGAACAGGATATCATTAACAGGTTTAAATTATTAAACCCCCCCCAATCCTTCTCAAAAAAGAAATAATTCCCTTTAACAATAATAATTTATAATTTGGTTTTAGCATCCTTATGGCACACTATGTTGGTCAAGTATTGTATAACCACTATAACTGGCCTGAAACAGTGGCAATATTGAAAATATTCAGTTAGGCCATCACAACAAAACTAGGCTAAGATGAACAAAATTCACTGCCTTATTTTATGCAATGATCCTTTATATTTAATAAATCCATAAGTCTTATCGAGAGGACTACATAAAACAAAAAACTACATAATATCCAAACCAAATTATATCAGATTATTACCTTTGAAAGAGTTTATGTATTTCACTTCCAACTCTGCTGTCTTGTCCAGGGCCTTGGCAGCATGTTCTACTGCATCCGTTTTGGGAGATTTCCTGCGTCTCACTGCAGCCATTGATGATCCTATAATTACATATAGTGACATTTTAATGTAACCAGATACTCCACTAAAGCATACACTGTATTAAAAATATTTATATGGTAGGCAACTACATCAAAACATTGAGAGTACATTTCAGCAATAATAAGTGTCTTATCTCAGTTTCAGCCCAAGAAATATTCACAGATCCATCAGAGAAATAACTATTTAACATGAAGTTAAATTGCCATGTGTCATTAAATGTCCTTCTGTGTCAGAATCAGACTTTCACCTTGAACTTAACTCAACAAAATGCTGGGCTTTTTTACTGAGGATAGTTGGCACGTTAAACTTGAAACTGGAGTTTAGATAAATAATTGTTGTCTTGTGTCACATTCATCACACTGTAATGTGGTTTATTGATTCAATTAATGATCAAACTCAGGTGGGGCACGTCTGGGCACGTTGCTGCTACAGCTACCAGAGCCAATTAGCTAACGCTAGCTTAGTTAGCAACCAAGCATAACATCCCACGGCAGTAAGAGAAGCAATACACAAAGCCTGTTGCTTTAAAACTTTATAATGTGCAAAAGCATTGTAATAATTCACATTTGATTTCATGTTAAATTTAACAAAGTTACCTGGTTCATGTTCAGGTGAATGTGTCCTTTTTATCAATTAAAAAAACGTTTCTCTGATTTTGACCACATGTTAACATTTAGCGTGTTTAAAAAACACTTAAACCATTTAAAAATCTGCTCAAAAAGAAATCTTGATAAATGTAGGCATAACTTACCGATTTATTAACGCTCTCATTTCCATGTGCAGACATCAAACAACACCGAAGTCCAGTGCTCCTCTCTCCGTAGCTCCGTCGTGTGTTGAGTAAGGGAGCGCTTGTTTTGCGTAGTGAGCACGTCCTGTAAGGGTGGTCATGCTATCATTCCCTATGACTCCAATGTCCACCCACCAGGCATGTCACTGTACATGTATCAAGTGAACCCAAGCTGTCTTTTAATACAAACGAGGCTATTTATTCAGAAATAGATGATCAGTTTTTATTTATTGATATAAGTTAACAAGATAACTTTTAACTCAGTTTCATTTTTAATATGTGTGATCACTAGTTTATCTTGTCTTAGTTTATCATAGCAGCTAATCAGTGAGGTTAGCATAAGCATGGCTATATTTTTAGCTTAGCATTAGCATCTCCGTGCTACACATACAAACATAAAATATTGCTAAGTAATGTATTTACTGGCAACCCTTCAAAAGTTTAGGATCTTGTGTGTGAATATTATGGACATAGAGCATTTAATATATATATATATGTTCAACAATTATTCATTGCTGATAGTATTGAGCCCGTCTTTACAGTTAATTAATTCAATTACCTTTAAATTACCTTTATATTAACAGCTAGCTAATCAAAGAGTTAGCCTCCGTGGAAGTCAGCTGCTTGCACATGCGCATTTAAGCCAAGTGTGTGTAAAGTGTGTGTAGAGGTAGTACCACCCTCTGCCATCAGGGGCCGGTACTGAGTGAGATCGCCTTAGCACACTTTAGCACACTAAGTTGGTAAAAGTGCATTGTGGGAAAAACTCTGAAAATTTCACAGGGCATTATTTTGACCCTCTTTTCACAGAATTTGAAGTAATTTTCGTGGGGTCCAGGGTTTGGGTCCCCACGAAAATTTTGGACCCCACACTGTGACTGTGCTGTCTGACCGCGGGCTCCACCATGTGATAAAGACAAACACACACACACACACACACACACACACACACATTGTTTAGTTACATAAATGCAGTGCAATGCTATCCAATCTAGTGGTGAAAAATAGGCTGGCTGCTTCATAATGACTGGCAGTGAGTGTCAGAAAATGCCCCTGGTCTGTGTTAGACACATCACATGTCTGACTTCTCGCCTATTCCAAACTGAGACTGATTACTTGCCTGATTGATAGCCTGCTACCTAATAACATTTTCGTCCTTCTCTATATCATTCGCCAACACTGACCCACTACGCCTTCTGAATACAGCAGATATAGGATCAAGACTATACACTACTTTGTGCTGTCTCTTCTCCCAAGGGACACAAGAGAAACCGAGGCCGATGTGGACAATCAGCAGACTACGTTTGTGTGTGTGGAAGTGTGGAAGTGACAGACAGACAAAGAAGAACAAAGTGAGAAGGACATCCTCTAAAAACGCCACAGCACAGCACTTCAGCAACGCCCCAGGACAACAGACAATATTCCAGAAATGGGCAGAAATAGAATTCCAAGGCTGGAAGTACTATTCTTTAAAGTAACCCCTCTTGTTTAATTCACCTGCCACCAGTGAACCGACTCATTAACGACTCTTTTGGTTCAGTATTTTGGACAAAAATCTACAGAAACATCACAAGTTTCAAAAGTAGAATCTTCAGTTAACCCTCTGCCATCCAGTCCTTCCCAATCCTTTCCCATCCAGTGGCATTAAGCAGACCTTTTTCAAAGCGATCATTTTGACATGAAATAGTATGTATATAAAGGTGTTATTAATGATACTAATTAAGGTTCTGTTCCATTTAGGCTCTGTTTACATGACATTCCTTTGGGTTTAAAAAGGTTCTGCGTTTGTACGTTTGGAAATGAAGCGAATATCCCGGATACAGCCGTTGCCATCTTTTGCATACGTGCCAGAGTACTGAAGTCTCACCCATATGCTCGGCAATCATGAAGTAAAAACCCACTTCTTACAGCTCAATTAAAAACGAACAGTTTGAACATACATGCTAGAAAGAATGTTTAGGAAAAATGTATTTGACATGTAATTTGATTTTTAAGTTTGGCCTATTTCCCATCTGTTAACATGAAGGCAGGGGACTTTATGTCCTATACTGCAGTCTATACAATGTGAAAATGATCCTCATGCCAATCGATCCACAAAAACGATTGGAAACGTTTACATTACAAAATGACAAAAAATAAACCCAAAATGTTGCATTTTATGCAAAAAAAACGTTGTTGTGAGCCAACATGCACAATAGCAGCACCTGCATATAACAGAGCCTTAATTAGGATGATTGCTAACAACTGTGTTAGCAACCCACTAGTTCATGTCAAATGGCTGCTGTGAAAAAGGCTCTGACAATTGTGTCAGATGCCTTGAGCAGGCCAAATCAAATATTGAGTCAGTTAGAGACCTGAATCTTTAGACAGTGCCAAACACTATTCCCAACAGACGGTAGATACAGAACATCGATGCCCTAATCATCCATTCTGATATCTGATGCGTGCACAGTTTCATGCGGTTGCTGTGTGTACCGTCCACCCTGGGGCTGCAGAGCCACGTGGACACGGGGGGTTAACAACATTTATGCCACATGGACCAAAGCGGACACGGAAAGTATGAATGAGCCTGATTTTACAAACTTATATCTGGTTAACTATCACACCTGAGTTTACAATCAGCACACAGCTGCTTCCTTGAGGTTTCTATGGGAACCATCCAGGACCATCTCCTTCAGTGGATGAGACAGTCCCAATTGGGACTAACAGATGTCTAACAGCACAAAGCAAGTGTGCACCAGACTTAAAAATCTTAAACTCGGAAAATAAAATAAAAAGTCACTTGTTGCATTGTAGATTTTCACCTAGAAACAGACACAGCCCAGAATGACAACAGCCTGTTATCAGATGCTCCTTTTTTAGTCCTTTATTGAGGTCATTGTGCTAGAAATCCTGCCTTGCATCTGTCTGACACACAGGACTGAAGAGGTACACGCACTTCAGCTCCTTCACAAGCCTCTTGAACTATTATCGCCTAGAAAGACCTTTTACTAAATAAACCGCTCTGCAGAGACGTTTATGTTTGCACCTTTGCAGAAGTATGTTTAGAGACTTACCCCTAATGCATAAGCTGTTTTCTAGCAAAGCACTGAGCCCCATACTGTGTGTGAATGCATCCACTGTGACACCTTTGAAAAGCCATGCAAGTCAATTCTGCTCAGCAGTTAGGGGATGTGGAAATACATGAATATCAGTTATTTTAGAGATGAGACTGGAAGAATATTTCTACCTGGAAAATGGAGTATTCACAGAGGGAGATCCAAACTCATCTCTTCCTGCAAAAGTCAGCATTTCAGTTTTGTGAAAAGTTGCAAAGAATGGCTTTGAATTATTCCCAAAGACAGGAGGAGAAATGCAGATCAAAGTGACAGTGTAATGGGGAGAGCTCCGGGTCTGTAACACAAGACCCTGTCGAATGTCTCCACTCATTCCAGACATAAAAGAGGACAGGGAAAAGAAAAGACATTGACAAATGATATCAAATCGCGTGCAGTGATGTAATCGAGATGTGCCGAAATCTAGCATCCAGCATGTTAGAAACAAGGTGCAGATGTAACTTGGCCTCATATGAGTAAGCAACAGCCTGTAAAACATGTCTTTTTCCATTTTGGGGTCAAGACCCACATTTGAATGGCAGGGGGATTAAAATAAACCACATCAATATTAACTGAAAAATCTCATTTCAGGAGATCTCACTGCGTTTTCCATGACGGTGGATCTTATTAAAGTCCGAGAACCCTCTGCAGAATGTATACACTCCAGGGACATGAAATAACATCTTGTCAGGGAGCTGATGGACCATAAATACCACACAAGCAGCGTTATGGTATTTTCATTTTCACAGCACTGGCGTCAGTGTTGTGGAACAGACAAGGCCTGTTTTCATGTGCTCAAACTGTTCAGTTACAATGCAGCATACTGAAGCAAGGTGGTTATAATTATAGCAATTATTCTTAGATTTGTACCCTAAATCTTACTTATTACATGCTACTGATCCACACAGGGGAGCTGGGTACGCAAACTGTGATTCAGTGAGTAAGGAATGTCCACTAAAACTCATCTTTATATTTAAGGATATTGTTTAAAGCAAACTGATACATAGAAGCTACAAAGGGATGAATGATGAATCATTTCTTTTATAAAAGAAGAACAATGCTGATATTGAAGTTTGCCTTAAATCAGGGGTCCACAAACTTTTTGATGTCAAGGACCCCCCAATGGATGCACATTGGACCACAAACCCCCAATTGGAGAGGATCAAACTGGGATGATTATAAAATACAATCAAGTATAACATCCAACCCTATCTCCTTCCTTGGGTTGTTCTAACTTTCCAAAAAAGATTAAACTTCAAATGTTCTATTCCTCCTTGTTCTAGGGACCCCTACAACCCACTCAAGGACCCCTGTTGGTCTTCGGACCCCAGTTTGAAAACCTCTTCACTAAATGCTTAATTGCACAACGTAACTAAATTAAAATACAATACACAGATGTGCACACGGTACTAAAATTCATCGGGATATTGCCAATGAAGCCTCATGACTTACTTCTATTTTCGGTGCAATGATCACTGACTAGAGATCAGCTTTAACCCTGCCATTGAATAACCACCTCATCACTGCCTACACCTGTAGTGCAAAAACACAGTGCATGAATAGATTTGAAAATCTAATGTTAAAGTATATTTAAAATGCTGAAAGTAATGTGTTTACATTTATAGAATTTAGAAAGAAGAAATATAGGTTCTTCCTAGCTGCACTGTTACATTTGTTTAATCTTCAATTCATTTGAAGTGTATTTTAAATGATATTTTTACAGATGTATAATATTAATAGCACTTAAGAAGTCAATTGGCATATATGTGAATTGGATAATACATTTCCTAAACTAGGTTTGGTATGTTTATAGACACATCTACAGGCACATCTTGAACTATAAGTGTATGTCAGCTGGAAGCGTATTTCTTACGAGGTAGCAGCCGGACCCACTCATCTCTCAGATACACCAACACCTGCAAAGGCAAAAGCCCTGTGACAGTCGGGCTCAGGGAATGTTACCGACACAAGCCCTTTCTGATAAACAGCCATTAAATGCCCGATAATTCTTACCTCAGCTCTCAGTGAAAATGTTGCTTTTGTCTTTGGAGACAGTTGAGAGGTTAGCTCATCTGGGCAGCATCGGTGCCTCAGTACATTGCAGAGACGGTCCTGAACAGGAACACAAGACATGTAGTGGAAATGGAGCGAGGAATGCCGGCGGATACTGGGACTGTCGGTAAAAACAACGGCTTGTTCTGTCATTACATTCTCCGACACACCGCCGGGGCTTTTTGGTGTTGTTTACGAGCTAGCCTAGCTGTCAGAAAGACTGGGGGAGAGCAGCTGCCTGGATACCGACTCCACTCTGCTGTGTCCAGTCTCCACCTACCGCCGAGGGAAATCCCGCGCTCAGATCTCGCGATGACACTCGACCTCTCTAATTGTCACATGTGCACATCATTACAGCGTCTCGTGCTTATTTATCAGATATTTATGTGACAGTCATAAAAAAAAGTATTGAGATCCTTCATTTAGGTAAAAATGGCAATACCACAATGGAAAAACACTTATGTTTGTATTATCAATAAAATGTACTTTATAAAAATCCACTTTATTGACGCTGCTGTCAGTGATATGATAATAATCCAGTAATTTAAAAAAAATGTTTTAAAGGAGAAGTATCTTTATGTTTATATCTAAGGGAAATATTTTCTCACCATAGGCCATTTTCACAGACATTTTTGACTTGCCTCACACAACACCATGACCCTGAAACATAAGCAGCTAAATGGAATTTATTCAGCCACCATTCATTTTTTATTATTTACGCCTGCACTGTTCCCACTGTGTCGTGTCTTCCGTAAAAAAGTCCTATGCCATTAATATTTCACAATGGCTTTGGTTGTTGAGCTACCCAACTGACTGAAAAACAAACAAACAGATGAAGTAGAGCCAGACATGGATGATCTTCATTAATGCTTCTGGTACAGGGAATGTAAATAACATGGAGACATTCACCCTTTAATAATAAAGGATAAAGGTCTCTACAGGCCGAACGTGTTTGCAGAGTGAAAAATGAAAGGAAATCAGAAAATGAAAGGGATTGTATATCCATGATGGAATACAATAATAGTTCTGATCAAACTTATCCTATGATTTAGCTTCATTGTGATAGCTTTAAGTGGTGAATTGGGAAATGTGATCAAAAGGAAATTAGCTGATCATTTAGCAAAAACAACAACTAACAACCACAAAAAAACCCCCACACATTTTAGATTCCCTCCATCAAAGTCCTGTGAATGTGTGGTGACATCTCAAATACAAAGCAACACTCCCATCTTGTGTTTGAAAAAAGAAAAGCAGGCAACACTGACACTATTTGCTTTGTTTTTTTATTGCTGTATGACATAATATACAAATCTTTATATCTACCTAACTTGTCAATATGCATAACTATTATTGTATAATGAAAGCTCAGGTCAACTTGTCCTTGTCTTTCTTGTGTTAAAACCTCAAATACCTACAGATGGATGACAAACTGAAGGATAAAAAATATGTATTAATAAGGTATTGGTCTACAATAAGCTTCCAGAACAGCTTTAGTGCTCTTTGTTAGACTGTATGCTACTGAACTCTAGTGGAGGGATGAACACCACTCTTCCAAAAGATGTTCTCAGCTACTCATTGATCTTATATTATGTTGGACATGTTCAGCATTTTTAAAGATATGATTACTTAATTGTATCATTCACTACGACTGTATGCAAGCACCTTTATTTGTTTCTTCTCTCATTTATTCAGTTCTTTTCCTTTTAACAGACTAATTACTTGAATTATGGCTGCATTCTCTTATGTGTGAGAGTTGATAGATGCTGATATTGTTGTTACGCACAGTACTTTAATTCTGCAGTAGGTAACTTTTATGAAAATCACTTTTTGTCATATATGCTGATACTTTCACTATATCCTGACAGTAGTACATGAGACCGATAATCTGTGAAAAAATCAGGTTCCTCTGTCTCCTCCTAGTGCTCCTAATGGCATTTGCAAGAATCCAGCGGGCCTGAATGAAAACAACCGATCAGAGCAGAGAAAGATAGAAAGACGCTTTGGGTTGTTGGCTTGAAGCTGATTGTTGAGTCTCATTCCCAGCGTCGATATTTGACAACCTGTGAACAAAAAAATTGGTTATTTTTGTTTAGGCGGGTTGGATTCTTCCGAATGCCACTTGGAGCACTAAGGAAGTACAACTAACTCAATTTTGTAAGTTAAAAAAACCTTCTTGGTTTCAAGTAGCTTCAGTTATCTTAAGTGACACTGACTTAATTTTGTAAATTGTATATTATATATATTGGAATATATTTAAATACAGTATATATTATATATTTTCCCAGATTATCTGTCTGATGTTCTACTGTCAGGAACTAGTGAACGTTTCAGCAAATATGACAAAAGGTAATTGTCATAAAAATGACTGCAGTAGCAGCTTTAACTGGTAAAAAAATAAAAATAAAATGACACCCTTTCAATAATGTTTTTGGTAATGTGTAGACAAGTAAATACAGAGCAAAACCTTTAGGCAGAAGTTCACAGTAATTGATACTAGTTGATACTTTATCGTGTCATGCAAAAAGTGAAGGAGCACAAAGTGAAACAGAAACACAAACACATTGTGAGGAACACGCCCTTTTGGCGGAGTGTGTGCAGGGTGACATTCCTCAAATGTTCTTCTCTGTGGGGGAAAAAAACACTGGTGCATGCAATCTCAGACCACATTTTTTTCTTTTTCAAGTCACAGCAAACACCCAACTGAAGCAGGAACACACCTAAGTAAGTCAAGTAAAGGTAAGAACAAATGTTTGTAATGTCCGTCACTAGATGTCACTGCGCGCCGTTTGTTGGGAAGCAACAACACTGACAGGCGATGGATCGTCACACACAAACCGTATAGACTGTATATATTGTAGTACTAAACACAAGTATTTAAGAATGATCACCATATTAAGTGTTGTAGGATATTGTCGGCTTGTATTAAATTATAGGCTATATGGGCGACATCACTGGGTTGTCCTGCTATGCATATTTCACAACACATAGCCTCTGTTCATTAGGGCCAAACTGCCATGCCTTTATCAATTAGACCCTTATTTATTGTTGTGTAAATATTGTTTCAGCAGCATTTCCCAATCAAAAGACTTTGTTTGACGTCAGAGTTGAATGCGGTCGGTGATGCTCTTATGCTGCCTTCACGTGATCCTCGTAAGGACGTGAGTCTGAGCTCCACAATTGTGAATATATACAACTTGCCCTGCAGGTACGCGCCTTTTAGTCAGACGATAGTAAAACATAGTTTAATGACAATTGTTTCTGTCTGTTGTTGGTTCTGAAAAAAAAAAAAAAATCCAGTCCACCTTAAAATAAATGTAATAGGAAAAGTTTGATTTGGTATAATATGATACCATGAATCGATTAAACATTTGTAATTTCTTGAACAGTGGAAATCATTTTCGAACACGTGTATGGTGTCGCATGGTAATCCCGGCAAAAGTCGGATCGTTGTGGAATTTTCGACACTTTTGTCAGCCCCTGAAGGCAGCATCACAGCCCCACCGCCTCGGCTGGGAGGATACAACGACCAGGCTGCCGTTGCCAACGATGCAATGCCTCGTTTTACGGATGAACCCTGGGCATAGGCACCTTCCGAGTGCCGCGGTCACCCCAAAGAGGCGGCACCACCCTCGTCTTCTGTGATAATCTGAGACAAGCTTCAGTAGAGAGCACCGAAGGACCCAAGGTACCCGGTAGACACCGGACTCGGGGCTTTATGTTTACCGTAGAGAAGCTGGAGAGGTGAGCTGAGCGAGCCGTAGTAACTTTAGCTTGCTACATGCTAACTACGGCTAGCTGTGTGATATTTAAAGCAGCACCTGTGTACCTGTAAACGCAGCGCTCTGTGGCACGGCTAGCTCAACTTCTTTGTGTGGAGATTATCGTTGGGTGGGTTTGTGAGTCGGTGGTCGACCTTCCAGCGTTGCAGAACGAAGGCGGTTACCGTTAGTCTGCCGGGAAGCTAACGTTGATCAATCAATGAACAACGAGCTAGCCCCTGGTAACGTTGTGCTAACGTTGTAGTTTTGGGTGCTACCGCTGGGCCCGTTATGCAGCTGACTTCTGGAGCAGTCTGTCAAACTGAACAGCTACATATACCTGCGACCATTGGAAGGCGTTTATTCTAGTTTTAGAAAGTTTGACTGGGTTTATTGTAGCAGGACGAGGCAGCACATCGGGATATATTACCCAGCGGCAGTGCAGCAGCCACCCTGTCAAAACAAGCCCAACGCCTCCTCTGAATGTCCAGCAGGCTTTGAGTGTGGCGTTTAAGGTACATGTTATTAATGCTCTCAGAGTCAGTTCAATACGCTTAATGAACTTTGTTTATTCAGTAGTATGTCCGCTCTGAGGGAGGGAGCTGGTACCGTTTATTGTCTGACAGACATAATGAGGTGAACATAGAGAATGTTTCGACTTCTATTTGCTCGTATTAATGTCTCCTTCAGTTTAATGATCAGCCAGTTTAATACAGTCAGTGTTGTATTGAAGCTGTAGTCATTTTGTGTGCATTTCCTCACACAGGAAGCTGGAGCCATGGGTTTCTCCTTCAGCCTTCGATGAACTGAACTAAGCTGGACCCACGCGACTCAGCCAACCTGCCCCTGCCTACAGTGGGGGTCCCCCTCTCCCCATCGCCCTCTCCAGCTATGGCAGGCTTCAAGCGGGGCTATGATGGCAAGATCGCTGGCCTGTATGACCTGGACAAGACGCTGGGCCGTGGCCACTTTGCTGTCGTCAAGCTGGCGCGCCACGTCTTCACCGGGGAGAAGGTGGCGGTGAAAGTGATCGACAAGACTAAGCTGGACACCGTGGCCACAGGCCACCTTTTCCAGGAAGTCCGCTGCATGAAGCTGGTCCAGCACCCCAACATTGTCCGCCTGTATGAAGTGATAGATACTCAGACCAAGCTTTACCTCATCTTGGAGCTAGGCGATGGAGGGGATATGTTCGACTACATCATGAAACATGAAGAGGGCCTGAATGAAGAGCTGGCTAAGAAATATTTTGCCCAGATTGTCCACGCTATCTCCTACTGCCATCGGCTGCATGTGGTGCACAGGGACCTCAAGCCGGAGAATGTGGTGTTCTTTGAGAAACAAGGGCTGGTCAAGCTCACTGACTTTGGATTCAGTAACAAGTTTCAGCCGGGGAAAAAGCTGACAACCAGTTGTGGATCACTGGCGTACTCTGCTCCGGAAATACTGCTGGGTGATGAGTATGATGCTCCAGCCGTAGGTATGCAAAACGTGTAGGCTTATGAATGATGCTAAAGTAATGAAGTGAGTCACACTGTTAATTAGAAAATGCCAGAGAGTTACAGTGCAGTTCTTCCAGACAGGATGTGAGCTAGATTTTTGGTTTAGCCTAGTTATGAACGTCTGGTGGTTTGACACAGGCACAGCTGTTTCTTTACTTTGTCTGATCCATTTTTTTTTTTTGGATGGACCAGACTTGCAGCCTGTGGCACCAGCTTAGTGTTCAGTCCACTTGTTAACTCCCTCACCTCCCTAAAAGCATGTCTCGATGTGTCTTTTGGCAGCAGACTACACAGGATATCTTTATCAAAGTCATACTGAACCTTGGATTTAGCACAGTGGTGCACTGAGGTTGGCAATGTGGCTAGCACCTGTTTCTCACATTTATGTCACACCTTGCTGTAACAACCTGGCTGTTGGTTTGCTTACAGAGCCTGAACACGTGTTCGGCATGGCCTGTTTTGTGTTTAGATAGCCACTGTCCAGAACAGCCGCCCGTCATGTGCAGCAGAATACGCAGTTGGACTTGTTTTAAATCAAGCGCTGTGTGTCCAGTAGCACTATGCTGCTAACACTACTTGACACTAATCATTTTGCAGGCTACCATAGGCCATGTGCTACAAGGTCAGCTCTACTAGTACTGATGTCCGTGGGTGTCCCATTGCACTAAATTAACTGGCTCATTGATTTTCTATGAGGGCTGACAGAGTGCAGACAGACAGATTGTGTGTCCTTCCACGACTGATATGGTATCTTTCACATCAGGTAGCTTCGATGATGGCCAGAACACGGAACCGACTCCAGCTCTTGAATTGGATAATGGGATGCGGACAGTTTAGCTTGTTTTTCGGACGGTGTGGGTGTTCATGTGGTGCTGATCCTGAAGCCGGTTTCGTGATTGTTTGTGCGTGTAGAAAATGCTTTCAAAGGCAGTCAACTAGGTATTATTTGCTTCCCCTTTTTCAGTCACGGTTCTCACATACTTATGAGGTGCGGCAGAGGCAATGAGGAAACTGTGGTTACTTTCACATTGAACTTTAGATGCACACACCCACACGTACTCACTCATCCTAAGAACTTTGATATGGTCTTTTTTTGAACCTGGACAATAGATAAAGTAGTATATTGCTCCACAGCACTGCCCTGTACGTTGATAGAAGCTTTATCTTGTATTGGATTCAGGTGATGGAGAAACATGAAGAGTGTCTGAACGAATGGCTTGCTAAGAGGGCTGGTCTATGTGATGTCTTGCTGCTGTTGGCTGCATGTGGTGCACAGGGACCTGAGGGTCAGTTCATGTTGAGTTCTCACTGAAGGCACGGCTGGTTAAGCTTAGTGACCTGTAATATGATATGATCAGCTATGTGGAACTGGATTTTGCAGTTGTATATTGTTTTTGAATGTGAAGTTCTGGGTTTTTAATTAACAGGTCCCCATAGGGCCACAAGGTCAGATATGATTTCATAATACAGACTGCAAGGAGACACAAAGTTGTAATAATATAATCTTGTAAGTTCTGTAGGGCTGTAACGGTTCTGAAACCGAGACCGAAATCGCGACACAAAAGTCCACAGTCTTGTGTCGTGGATCCGAGAGACAGAACCGCGACACACTCGCTCCCTGGACTGTTGGGCTCTCATTAAGACAGTGTAACTGCGGCGGTGGCAGCGGCCCGTGGGGTGGTAGCGTGTACGCCTATATCGTATTTGGATTGACAGTAGGTTATTCTAGGTCATTTTCAACCTTATTTTAGTGTTTATTTACTACTTTAATCTGCTCCCTTTCTCTTCTCCCCACACTCACACACAGCACACACACCTAGCCTGGACCTCTGGTCACTCATGGCAAACACGCCTGCTTGCTCCGCCTCTTTCTGTCTCTCTCTCTCCCTGTGTGTGTCTCTGCTGACTTTCTCCATCCGCAGTACGTTTCGTAAACCCACCCGTGATTCAGTTTCCAAGTGCACCGCATGTGGGTCCAAACCGAAACTAACGTTAGTGAGTGACATCTGCAGTGGTGCGTTCACTGACGCTCCGTAATGTAAAATTTCTGCCGTATCCGCTTAATGTAATATCAGATAACATCTCTCTCTCTCTGTTTCTCTGCAAAACGGGGAGAACCGCGGTATGAACCGAACCGTGGCTCAAAAATCGAGGTCTGAACCGAACCGTGGATTTGGTGAATCGTTACACCCCTAAAGTTCTGACATTTTTTTCCTTTTATATTTGAACTGAACAAGCAAAAACAGCCAAATCTGTCTGTTAAGCCGTTAGCCAAGTAGACTTTACCGCATCAAGTCATTCCATCGCTGCTCTGCTGGTCACTGTCTCTGACTGCTGCTCCTGAGAAGCTCCTGATCTATAACGCTTGTTGTGTAACTATGACATCCATGACTTGTCATGTCATTAGCTGCGGCAAGTTTTAAAATGACAGTGATTTTGATCATTATAATGCTGTTTGTCACATTTTACCTTTTTAAATTGGGGCCGCTGCAATTTGGATATTGCACTTGCAAATTTTGCTAATATTGTGATTAATTTGCAGCCCTACTTCTTTCTTCTGTTTTCATGTAATTCAAAACAAAATACAAAACGTAGCTAATGTCAAAGTCCCAGAATCTTCAAATTTGGTGAAACCTTATTAAAAATGCAGAAAAAATCAACGATGACAAGATAAATCTTGTGGCCCAGTATTAAACCATGTTCCAGTGCAACAGATGCTGCAGAGAATGTTTATGACCTGGGTTTTAGATATGAGCAGCTAGTCCAAAGTGTACCCCACGAGCTGTGTGTAGAGCTGTTTAATATGCCCTTCCCATTCCATGAATTTGTAGTGTACCACCATCTGCACTGGTTGCGCTAAGAGGCTGCTTGCCACCCTGCACTCAGAATTATTGATAGTCACTGCCCATATGCAGCTCACTATACTTTATTGTGCTGAGCAGGGCTGTTTAGCAGGCATAACAGTCTGTGTGCTCTACCAGGTGGCTGTTGGGAGCGATGCACTTATAGGGACTGATGGTAATTGTATAGGTCCCATTTTTGGCCGGGCTGTGCAGCCGCAGCCCTCTGCAGTTGTTGTGTTGAGGGTACTTGGAGCCACTGATGGCCACTCTCTGGTACTGAGTTTTTTTGTCTGTACTCGTCTGTGCACCACGGTGCGGTTTAGTCAAGTGTTGCAGTGGCTGTTGTGGGGCGCATGATGCTGTGGTCAGAGCCATTAGCCTTGTGTGTTTGTTGCTCTGAAAATGAGTGTAATGAGTTGAAAGTGCTTATTGTTTGTCCAGCCCAGGACGCAGACAGGGTTGCTTTTGGTTTTTTGAGTAGCCATCAGTGGGAAGCAAAACCCTTTTTATTACTTGAAGCCAAAAACAGGTGTGTGCTTTTAAGGATGTTTGGGAGAACATCTGTAAAGCATAATTAGGAACCCATGTCTTTTCTTCTGCATCCTATGACAGTTGTGGCAGGGTAAAGTGCAGCGCAATCAAGGAAAATGAGTAGTTTCATTACAGAGGATGATGTCTCACCTTCATGTACCAGCTGATAGTGGAGACCGGTTAAAGCTGCTGTTAAAAGGTTCAGTGTGTTGTGCTCAAGGCACTCTTTAGTTGATGGAAAGCCCTTGATTTACAAAAGCCATCCTGCTACAACTAGCCATTGATGACCCATAGCAGTGATCAACCTATTTACAGATGTGTGTGCCTGTGCCCTGCGGAGCTGTCTGGCAGGCCTTGGCGTCTGCACCAAAACGGTGTCTCTTGAGGGAAGCCAGAGGGGCTCTTAATTGCAGTCCTGGTTACTGTAGCCCGCTGCCAGTAGATGGGAAGAACAGTTAATCCATGCTATTGTTTGGACTGGGCCAGGAAAGGATGAGAGGGAGGCAGGATGCAGCCATTACACAGTCCTGTGTTGACACAGACTGACTTGGTTTGATTAGAACTCATTCATCTGGGTTCCTACCACTGGGCCAAAGACCAGCTTCCTCATTATCTGTAGCATTTTCCTCCCCAAACAAAATGCTTGTAATTGTTTCTTCCAGAGGTGGATACCAGGGTAGATGTGTGTTGTCTTGAATTCTATTGGTGAGCTAAGAATTTTCTATCATATTCATAATGACTGTAGACTAAGCAAGTCTCAGTCTGTATCCCTGTGTACACACATTTTCTATACATCTAGGTTGCTGCATGAATAACCCTTCATATCTTTGTTTGTTCTGGTTTGCCTGTTACATAAATCACTGGTGCTTTTGACTCTACAGATGTGTTAAATGGCCAAGGTCACAGAAAGCCTCCAGTAACCCAGCTGGCCTTTGTTTCATTACCCTCAGAGTATCCAATAGAAACAAATGGGATGGAGTATAACACTTATATTAATGTTATCTGCTTTAGCTTCAATATTTACTCTTGTATTTCTATACCTGGAAATCTGTCTCATCTCTAGATTTAGTTTGTCTTTCTATTGAGCAGCACTGTGTTAAAAGTGAACAATACTAATACAGAGCTAGCAGTTCATTATGAAGAGCTGTGTCCTGCCTGTCACTGACGAGTAATGCTGACATTACAAATCAGTCAGGCGAGGACGTCCTCTCTTTTTCAGTTGGATTTGGACTATGCACATAGAGCAATATTCAAATTCCCATCAGAGGTCAGATTGTGAATGCACAATAACCGTCTACACCGTACACCTGCCTATATTTATCTTTGATCTGCCTTTTTCTCTGTGCCTTAGGCATTTCAGGATGGAAAGATGTGAGGTAGATCTAGAGAGATGATAAATATACAAACTCTGGTGCAGCAAATTCATAAAATGTACAACTATTTTCACATACTGGTTGGCAGTGGTTTTCAGAAGAAAATCTAAAAATAGATGTCATTCATTCATTTAGTTTACCCCTTTAAACCCTGTACTCCATGTACATATAGTGGGCCTCATGCAGCAACATTCTCCTAGATATCTCTTAATATTCTGTTAAGAGAAAATA